GGGTTGCCCACAAATTATCTCCCGCCGCAAGTTCTTCTTTAGCGTTCATTCGTGCCTAACTCCTGATTTGAATTCCAGCATCGAAAATCAAGTGGCAGCGGCCACTTTAAAAGAGATAGCAACAGCGCTTATAGCAGTAGCTCCTTCCATCGCCTTCGAAACTGAACCCAAAATTGAAAATTTCTTGCTTGAAAATTTTGAAAATATTCCTGCGCTAGTCGGATTATCAAGGCATGCTCTGCATTTTGAACCTTTATCAATATAAATATGTGTCAAAAAATTAAAAGTTTGACAAAGGGAGTTAATAGATTGAAGGATCCTCGTGACGTGGCTATTTTAACATTTCATTGCCCTGGAAAATGCGAGAGGGCGTGTTCTGCTGCTATCTGTTTTAAAACATACGTAGATGTGTCTTTTTTGAGTATCTCTTCATGTGAGATATAATTGTAACACAGCAATCAGCCGAGAGCCGTGGTGGATCGCGGAATATTGGGGTAGCCCATCTTTTTCTAACCTATCCGATGCTGGAGGCGGAGGTGTGTAGTGACAAGTGGCGCGCTTACCACTCGCGCGGTCCTGGGTTCGAATCCCAGGTCGACACCCGCCCAGGCCAACCAAGCCTTCTACCCTCCGGGGACGGTAAATTGGTAGATTCGTCGTCTGGGAGGATAAAACACTGACTTGTACATCGGCTGGCCCCCGCAAGTCATTGTATAGGCCACATCGCATTCAATAAGCCACTACGATTCTGAATGGAAGTAGAATGCGTGCCGCATCCCACAAAGGATTGATTACGCGAAGACTTTATCCTTTATTCCTTTATCGAATATTGCCATGATACCAATTGTACCTGTTAATGCGAGTCCGAAAGCCCAAAGTGATGGCGCTCCTGCACGTAAAGCGGGGAGAAAAAAAATCAGGATTCGTGAGCGCAGAACTGTCGTGGACCGCCATGCAGACGAGAGGGCACAGCGAAAAACAGAAAACTGAGTGGTCATCTGAGCCTCAGCCTCAGCTGAGGGAAGGGGCGCGGAAGTGCTGACGCGGAACCCTGCTCAACTAGCATTGGAGTTACTCGTGGGCTGAAAATGTGTAGTTATTTCTATGAGAGCAAGTGCCAAACTGCAGCTGTTTAGTTATAAATACCGTTTCTTTTTTCTTTCCTCTGTTTTTTTTCTGTTTTGGTTGTACATGTGTTTTTTCTTTCAGATGGACACGGATAGGTGGACCACTGCCTCCACATGCGCATGAGTCATCAGGGCGGTTGACGATAAACCCGGTGTCGCTGTCAGATGCCGGCCAATACGTCTGTGTCGCTTCGCATGGAGGAAGGACGGTGGAAGCACAAGCCACGCTACACGTGCAGTCCTGTAAGTCTTACTCTTCTTTATCATCGAGTTTATGCGACCATCAGGGAGCGTTATGATATGAGGAAGCATTTTTTGAGAGATATCCATTGACGACTTTAAACTGCGTCATGCGCCAGTGCCATCTTCCCACCAACCTATCCACCACCTGGTAATAACCACCCACATTCATCGTTCTATGCTTTCGAAGGTTTACACAACAAAAGTATTTTCATCTGATGAACTTCGATCAAAATTCATTTTATCACTTGGCAAACTTGTTTCGTTTGGGGAAGAGCAGCTGGTTTCGGCAAGGCTACTTGATTTATTTCTCTAAAATCCCTCGTCCCCCGCAATGTTTGGGGATGCGTTAGTCAGTTATACGTGCAGGCGCTGACAAACCTAAGTAGGTGCAAGGCAATCAAGCTGAGAGGAAAGTTGCCAAGTTAGCTCGATGACAATTTCTAATCTTTAGCCCTGTTTGAGTCTTTCTGCCCTCAATTTAGACTTTTTGTGACAGCATAATCCAAGTTTTTTGAACGCTTCGTTCCGAGAAAAAAAGGCTGCCTTATCAAATAGGAAAAGCGCACTGGCGATGAACTTGCAACGCGATCAAGCGACTCTGCCCACGAGGTCAGCGTGGACGTTCCTTCGGAGATTGGCTTGTCTTAAGGCAGTGGGCACGATTGCTGGGGTTGCACGGTTGTGGCCAACACACTGGTGGAAGGGCTGAGGGGTGTGGCCAAACGCCTTCTCGCAGCCCGTCCACCAGTGACACTGGCAACAACCGCCCGCCTTCAGCCAATGCGGAGTTACACCACAAAATTAAGTCTAGTTGGAGCAGTTTTTTTGGACAATTATTTATTATGGAGAGAGCTGGCCCCCCCCCCAGCCCACACCTCGCAGATCCGTCAAGCATGTGAAAGGGATTGCGGAGGGAAGAGGGTGGGGGAGGGGTTACTTGCTGCAAAAAGGGTCAATCGTCAAATTTTATTGAGATGCACTGAAAGGCACTTTTTTAGTTAAATCGACAGCTGGGAATTGATGAGAGAAAAGATGGGCGGAGATTCTTCGTGGCCTTGACTGTGCCCTTGCTGGCCTTGTGATCAAGGCCTTCGCTAAGGATCTTCAAGTCAGGAACGGCAAGGCTGAATTCCATTCATAAGATCTCCCGTTGCGCTATCCACGTTCAGGCTGATATCCCACAAGCTAGAAATGCAGCGATGAAAACACATACAGTGATCATCCTAGCCCCACCCAATTGCACGACTTTCTATATGCCTTTGATTCCTCGTGGCTACTTTGTGGGACTATTGTAAATACAAAAATTGCAGATGGACCGCAAGAAATGCAAAGTTTGTTGCCGTCATCCGGCCAATGTATGGCAGACGAGAGAGCCTGTGGAAACAACGAATGCGTCAAGGCAGACTACATTTGCGACGGTGAACCAGACTGTCGCGATCGGTCAGATGAGATGAATTGTCCAGCTCTGCGACAATGCGAACCGAATGAATTCAAGTGAGAAAGCACTTCAAATCTTGACTTTACTTACGAACTTTAGCTTAAGTTAGGCAGCGTTCATACTTCGCGACGGCAGCGCTTCAGACACGCTCTTGACGCGATTAATGCAGTTGCGCGTCGTCGCGTTGAGCGCGTGACCGCAGCGCTGCCCTTGCGAACTCTGAACGTTGTTTAATAACTTTCTCGCTATAGACTTTTTTGTACCGTCTAGAAAGTACAACATGACTCAAGAAAGTAGAGAACAGACCTGAAAAGCCCACTGGTTTGTCGCTGTGAAGAGAACCTGGCTCAATACTAATTTTTTGGAGTAATGATAAGTCAGGTCTCAGTTTAGGGGCCATTATTTTTCGGCGTAACATTGTCTGAAGTGAGACTTAGGCTCCCTGGGACCATATGAATCAAAGTGAACCTATCTATTAACCTACTTGATGGATTTAATAGATATGCCCGCCGTGTAGCTTGAAGAAAATGGCTTGACCCCCTCAAAGCGGTTGCACTCCTAGTCAGAGCACAACCCAGCTTGATTGAATGGAGAGAGGCGGGCCTTGTGCAGTCTTCTGTGATGTGTTTCTCCTTCTAGTACGAGGTAAAGGTCGCGCCTATAAAGAAAAGTGGCAGACTTTCTTCCCGCGCTATCAAGTCAGCGTAGACATGTGCATTCGGCCCCTTGTCTTAGACTCCTTGAATAGATCAGAGTGCCATGGCGCATTCACGGTGATTGGTTTCCCCCTACCCCTTGACATCTCCCTCACTTCTCAGCTCCAGTCAGCTAATGTCTCTGATCTCGACCACACTTCAGCATAAGTGCCTTGAAAAGGGTGATGCTCTTTGGTGATAGTCAAGCTCGGAACTTTTTCAATGTCAGCTAAAATGTGGCTTTGAATTCGTGTAGCGGAATTTCTGGGTTCTTATTCAACGATTACGATTTCTCCCGCAGCTGCAGATGCAGTATGAACATTACTGAAGAAAAACTAGTTTCTCCAGTTAAACACTCCATTTATGACCACATTCAAGTTGATTTTTGTCAAAAGTTCTCATAACGTTACTGCACACTTCCATAGGATTATGATGTTAAAAGTTTCGGGTTGTAGGAGCGTAAACTCCTCATTCAAACGTTAGTGGCACGTCGGAGCTAGAATTCAGCAAACATCTTCCCCTTGAGCCCACTACACGTGCTGGGCTATTTCGCTTTAGCGCGATTGACAGAACCTATTAGGGAAGCTAATTCGATGGTAAATCTTGGACAGCCATGGAAGCTGTTTACCCGAAAAGCGATATTCCTTTCCAAGATGTTCCTTTTTCTATCTGAATGCAACCCTCGCGCTCCTTTTTTGGCTACTCCTGCTCTAGAACTCCTGAGTTTCACCTGCACATTCTATATTCTTAATGCGCACAGGCCGAAGTTAAATGCGGCAGTAGACCGTGATCACATGGTGGTCAGGCGTAGCACTGTGGTTTCACAAACATTCTACACTCCGAGATCGCTCTCCTAAGATTCCTAAAGAAGGCGCGTATGCAGTTGAAGGACGTACAATTGCGGCTCTAACCCCGCCCAGATGATCGGCGTGGACTGAAGATCTTGCATGCATTGCGAATGTTCGATGAGTATCGCAACTGATTCTAATCATGCTTCCCCCTTATCCGTGTGAGCTTTTTTGTCCTTCACCGCTCAAAAGATACGTCTTTAGATTCTATGCGAATGAGACTGGGTAGTGTAGCCAGTAGGCGTTCGAATCAGACTTGGTAATGTACCAGTAGGGTGGAGTCGGAGTGGAACCTGCTTACTCAGCAGATTCTTGATTGGCTCGCAGGCCAGTCCTATCTTCTCTTGAACCCTTTGATTGGCTTTTACTGCTGACCGTGATAAGAATTGGCGAGCCCATCGAGAATCCTCCCCCGCGCTAGGCAACTACTTCAGTCCTTCCATAGAATAGAGACATCTATTTATAATTCAGCTGACCTCATGGGCGCGTTTACAAATCAGCCTGGGGGGGTCAGCCGACTGAAGGAAATTTCTACCAACAATTTTCTATCGAAGTAGAGTACATGGCGCATCTCAAAAAGGAATTCTTCAACACCGAAGTTCGTACTTTCTTACTTTCCAGATGTCAAAATCAACGATGCGTTCAGAAGATGTGGCTCTGCGACGGAGATGACGACTGTGGTGACAGTTCCGACGAACAGAACTGCGGTAAGTTGGCCATTCACCGGAAATAGTTCCTTCTCACTAACAGAGAAGGGGCTGGGTCATCAAAGCGCAAAACCTTTGACGCGCTTGATTTCTTCCGAGGAATTTTTTTCAAAGTTACGTTGACGAAACATATCGGTGAACAAACCTGATGTTCTATCTGATAGCGATAATTTAAGGCGAGAGAAATCGCGATACATCATGAACGATTAGCCAACAAGATATCATATCATATCACTGCCACCGTTGTAATGCACGGGAAGGGAATGGAAACCCTGCTGAAGAATTTTCGGAAAACCTCTATTTTCAGGAGTACAAGAAGCGGGTGAAATGTGCAAGAAGACAGAATTCCAGTGTCGTGATCAGCGGCAATGTGTGCCATCATCATTCCACTGTGACGGAACGAATGACTGCCGTGATGGCAGTGATGAGGTTGGTTGCCCCCTCTTACCCCTGTGCTCCTAGAGATAATCCAGGTTTCCGATTTAGGTTGGATGCGTACAACCCACCGTTGTCGAGCCACCCGAGACCAACAAGCAAGTGGCTCAAGGATCCACCTTCCAACTATCATGCAGGGTAGGTTTTGGGACGTTTGAGGGGGGACAACTCAGAAAAGTTTACGTTTTACAGGCTGTCGCCGTGCCAGAAGCCTACATTAATTGGCGTCTCAACTGGGGTCCCGTCTGTGATCCACCTCGTTGTATTCAGGCTTCTGAAGGAGGATACGGAACGCTCACTGTGACCAACGCTCAGTATGTTCTACACTCTCTTCTCTTTCTTTCAGGAATTAATTTGGGGAGACCGCTTCCCTTTCATTCATGCTAAAGACAGTTCCTGCGATCAAGTGGTCCGCGAAATGCCTTCGTGCATTTGGCATCGTTGTCCGCATTCGCAGAGAACGTACCACTTTCGTCACTCGAAATGGCGAGATAAAGAAGCTAGAGACGCGTGACTGTTGCAACCATTGCAACTGCAATTACTTTCACTCTACAAGGCAACGGCTAAACAACGGCGTATGTACATCGCGTTGTCTGGAGCGTCGTAGGGGGATTTCCTATGCTCTTGCCAGATTTAGTGTCACGCTGACTTGCTGTTTGGACTTGTCCAACGTCCGACGAACATGTCCAAGTCGCCGGCCCCACTGCTAAGTTAGCTGCTCAGTGTTTCCAAGGCTTTTCTTCTCTTCTTTCTCTATTGGAGACTTAATTAGTGCTACTAGTCATGAACTTGAGGATGCTTCCTTAATATCAAAATTTTGTCACATCATTATGAGCTATTAGGCAAAGTTATCCAGCAACTGGGTCATAATTGACGCCAATGACAGATGTGTAATAATCTGGCATTGGAGTAGGTGGCGCGGTCGATCAGCCCAAAAGGGAGCGGCTAACTGGTCGCGGTAATGATCCGACCGATAAATCCCTCATGTCCAACTCAGTTGGTGGCTGCGACCCAAAACACGGCCGTGGTGTTAATTACCTTCCGATGAGCAAAAGTAGCGCTGTCTCAAGTATGTTGTAGGGTGGAGCGCGACTATGAGCAGTTTCAGGGACCGGTTCAGATCACTCATCACCAGCCCATCATCATCGTCATCACCATCATCACCGAAGACGGTGTGCCTGTGTGTGGGTGTGATGGTCGATCTGTCTGTCCTGGGTCGATTGCAGGCATGGAAATGAAACGGAGAGCTGAGAGAAGCAGGAATTTCGCGAAACGCCGCAGCGCAATCACTCACTGCAAGAACTATCCATCGATAATGAATATCGGAGATGAGAAGAAATCCCATTAACGATGTGCAAACGTGTCGGGCGGATGGCGCTATTCGGGCCAATTCAAAATTTTCAGCAGCTCCCGAAAAAGGGATTCATTCAACGCGGGATTCAAATTGATTTTTTCAATAAGACTTGATAGGACGACCAGGCGGATCAAGCATGGACAAAGGGTTAAACGCACCTGTTCGAACTGTCCTTTCGCTTTGCAGAGGGATTCCGTTCAGATAAATTTCAAATAGCATAATAATCTTTCAGCGTCGATAATCCGCTTTCGGATACGGCCACGGCACTGAGGTGATCATTAATGAGAGTATAATTGGTGGGTGCGAGTGATGAGTATCTCGTAGGGGCCATAGTTTCCCGGATAATTCTTCAGCATCGATGATTTTCCTGAACTACGTCACGCGCTCAACCTCCGACACCAACTTTTTTTGGCTCCAAAAGGTCATAAGTCCAAATAGTAAAGTCTTTGCCAACGGTACCAGTTTTGTCTGATTTTGGTCAGCCCATTTTTGAGATGCGACACGCAAACAAGTGGCTTGTGGAACGATTCACAAGACGCCAGCTGGCGCCCCTAAGCAGTTGTCTGAACAACCCAACCACCCAGACTTAACCTCCCAGACGAATCTGTCACCAATATACCTTCCCGGGGGCAGAAGGTCTGGTTGGCTCAGGTCGATTCCCAAAGGTATGCTGGGAATCAGCCTATAGAGGAATATCATTTGCCTGATGACCTTCATAATCTAATAATGTTTTCTGATAATTGATCATCTCTTCGGGATGCGCCACGCATGTGATCACTAATGGAAATACCCGGCTCCTTAAGGATACGATTGAGGAGTTTCTCGTGGGGCAACCATTGCTCCTGATAAACCCTTGGCGCAGATTACCTCTGTGAAATATGTCACACATTCAACCTTGTCCCAAGCCAAACCGGATTTTTCAACTCCGAAGGGTGCGATGGATTACCACAAGTTGCCCACCCTTTTCTACATTGAATTTTTCCGAAGGATAACCGCATTTGAATATTTCTTAACTTTTTATGAATCCGTCCAGCCATCATTCTTATGAGGTCACTCGGAAATTATGGGCCCGCCAAAGTTTGCTGGTCAATATTAATGTTATATGCAGCACATTTGTAGTAATTTCTGAATGGAAAACGATTGCCGCCGCATCCCAAACACACCTGTGAAAGCCTCTCCACTCACCCACGGAGCATTCGGGAAACTCCCGCATTGTGAGCTTATTATCCAAAGCGCCAACAAGAATATGTGCTCTTTCCAAACTCCAAAAATGGTCACCAGAAAAAGACCGGGTAGTTCTGCGGAGACCCTAGAGAACGGGTTCGCCATGGGAGGGCTCCTATCGTAGGAGTCTCATCACTCAATGAGTCGTTTCTTTGTCGGTTGGCGTGTTGGCAATGGGTGAGGAAGAAATGCTAACTCAAGAAAGAAGCCGGTTCGGAGACAAAGGTAGTAAGCATTCATTTATACCTTGACTACTCGAAAAGTATCTGCTGAGAGATTAGAACAAGCGCCTAAAAAGCGTATAAGGACCCCACTAGGTCTTCAGCTAAGTGCTTGCACCCGAGTATAAGAAAGAAATGAATAAATAATTCCCCAGGCAACTTTTTTTTCTACCCGCTGGTCCCCTTCCCTTCGAACCCCTGGGTTTAAAAGAGTAAAGCCCTCAGTTGTGGTTCTGCTAACAAGACAGGGCTGTCCCCTTTGGCAATTTCTTTTTTGTTGGAAGAATTGCCATCAACTGCTTCTGCCTAGCAAGCATTCAACAAATAGATTTCAAACTCATTGGGTGCCTTTGTTTGTGCGGCTCGTATCAGGAAATTAATCACAAAATCTTACCAAGTGCCAGCTGTTCGCACGTAATTCGTCGGACGCCGTCATTAGTGAGGTTTCTAGCCCTCAAGCTGAAGTTTTTCCTCGAGCTGAGTCATCAGGGCAACTCAAGCGCTTGACGATTTTCAATGCGATGGATCAGGTTACATGAAGAGAAGATGAAAAGAGATTTGGAGCTTTTCGTAGGCGCTCGGGGATGTAAACTCCACGGCTTTAGCCCACCTCACAGAGGGTGACAAAATGCAACTGGGATAGATTGTGTGCTTTGGGTAGGTAGAGGAATACGTAGACGTAGGTGATTTTCACTCTGGGAGAGGAATTCTCGTGTAATGGCTGTATAGTGTACAGCTCCAAAACCACATTTGGGGAAGCCCGGTGGAGGGTATGTAACCCTTCAGAACGCCGTATCCTGAATGTGGTGCGTATCGCAGATAGTGCAGGTGCCGAAATCGCATTTGCCTTGAATGGCCGAACGGAAATTAAAAGGTAAAACGCCGTGGGAGGTAGATAAGCGTGTAAGACTAGAACTCCCCCGACCAGGATCATGTACAAGTCGGACGGTCTGGAACATGATCTAAATCACTGTTAAGTTGATTAGTAGGGAAAATGGTCAGGAAAATGGTCAAGGATGACTGTCATGGTCCCAAGTGTCCACTGCTGGTGCTGCACACTATCCGGTACAGGACCAAGCATCCGTCGTGGTCGTATTTGGTTCTTGGAGGGCGTAGGTCGTAGTTGGCTTTTTGGAATATAATATATTCTAAACAGTCGTTTTTTTTTGTTCCAACAACTGCTGCGCCCACATGGGCATGGCGCGACAGTTTGCTTGTTCTGATAGTTTAGTAACTACGCTCTCATCCCCGCTCGGCGGACATTGGGAGAGGGAGGATGAGGTTATGGGAGAGTCGCATCTGTAAATGGAGGGGAATCGTGGAGAAAAAACTTTTGCACTCCATCCCAGACCCTGGTCCCTTAAGGACCAGGTTAAGGACCAGGGTCAGGCGAAAGACTTGTGCGACAGTTCATCGCTGTAATAACTCAACACGGAGGCCATTAATCTTGAAGGGAATTTAGAGGACACTTTGTGCAAAACTGGGAAGGGCGGATAGACTTACCCTTGAGCCGGACGTGGTGTACTGGCAAGTGGCACGCTCACCACGCGCGCAACTCGGTGTCAAATCTTGGATAGCTCCTGCCTGGACCAAAGGGCCTCTACCCTCCCCCGAGGATGGTGAATCGGTCCCCGCAAGTCATTATATAGGGCCCATCGCATTCAACAAGCCACTACGACTCTGAATGGAGGTGGAATGCGTGCCGTATTCCAGAAAGGCATTGAATAATGGCGTAGTTTTTATCCTTTATCAGATGCCCCTGACCCCGTCCTCACTCACAGAAGTTATGGTCACATTTGGGATCCCTTAGAATTTCTAGCCCTTAAATTTCTATCACGGCAAGGAAATCGATCCCCAGAAAGACATAGTCAGACCGATTTTCTATCACGACAAGGAAGTCAGTCCCTCAAGGACATGATCAGTGCTGATTCCCAATACAGAATCACGCGATTCTAGGGCACATCATAGGAGCAATTTCCCTCGTGGTAGGTTCTCCTACATGTATGCTGTGAGCCCGGGATGCTTAAAGAATTCATTAAAGGAAAAATCCAGCGCTCAAGAACATTTTTTTCGAACTCAAATGCTACATTTTTTCCTCCAGCGACCAGGTATAACCCCTCGCTGGGAATCCCCAACGTTCTGCGTGCTGTGAGCAGTTGCCAAGATTTATGTATGTCTGTAGTGTGATCTCAAGGACATGATCAGTGCTGATTCCCAATACAGAATCACGCGATTCTAGGGCACATCATAGGAGCAAAAGTCATCAGGGGAGAGATTTCAGAAGTTTGCAGAAGTCTGGTACCGTACGATTTCGCCTTCTCTTTCAGACCGATCGATCAGGGAGCTTACACTTGTGAAGCGATAAATGTGAAAGGTCGAGTGTTGGCCACTCCTGACTGTATTGTTCGAATTGTGAACATCCCCGCACCGGAACCACCACGCCCGCAGGTCAGATGCGATCCCCACGGAGCAGTGTCTTCGTATCCAGACCACACTGGTACATGTCCTTGCAAGGTAAGTGCACCACCAGTTATTCCACTAATGTTTCATTTCCGACATAACCCTTTGAGCTTCAGCCGCTTGTCACTGGACCCACGTGCAGCGAATGTCGCCCCGGTTCATTCCATTTGCATGAAAAGGCACCTCAAGGATGCTTGAAATGCTTCTGCTTTGGAATCACCGACAACTGCCGCTCCAGCAGTCACTACAGGACTCAGGTATGGACATTTTTGATTCGATTTGGTTCTGTATGTTCGTTCTTTGTTCATTGTCTCTCCCGATGGATTCACTCTGAACAGATTTCATGGCCATTATGAGCTAGCTTCTCCTAGCTCTTCTTATGTTTTTGTAGCTTTCCAATAGGTATGCTTTGAAGTAGGTATTGATTTTACGCTTGTGCCATCGACATCGATTTCCTGGCACACACGCCTAGTAAGGTTTAATATGGTGATGGCGGCGTAGAGGTTTTCGCTGAAAATTATGTTCTGTGAATGCTAGCATTTTGACATCTGAGCCCTACAGACGTGGTTCTTGTCTTTCCGTTTAATTACCCGGGGTTTCTCAAGGAGTGGATAGTGAGTAGTGGGATGTGAGCATAAACCTAAGGACCGTGCATTAGTCGCGGCTTTGTCTAGGCTAAGATGGGCCATTAACACGGGCTCTGAAAAACCTAATAGCCGAGTCTCGGTCCATGTTAATGGCCTAGGATCAGAAAAACCCTAGGCCATTGACATTTGCCTAGGGTCGGTTTTTCTGACCCTAGGGTTACACGACTTCTCAACAACGGTTTTTTTCTGAGCAAAAGTGGTGGACTTGTAAGAAGGAAACGGGTGGATAGCTGCCACAATCTAAGACGATGGTACGTAAGATGCTGGAAGAGAGGGGGTTCTACCGGGGGAAGGCATTCAAGGGTGTTGCTTTTTTTACGAATTATTTCCAATGGCAGGGCGTGCCCTGTCCTTAGATCATGACCTTCTTTGCTTGAGAAAAGCCATTTCACTTTAATTTCTCGAGAAGAGCTCTTCCAATTTTCTTCCAAGTGCTGCCCACAAGTCACAGTCTTTTTTTGTTTTGTGTTGTTTGCAAATGAATGTCCTAAATAGTGTTTCTATCGTGTTTCAGGATGCAGCCTGTGTAAGTGTCGTCTTGTTTCGGTCCTCAATGTGAACGTGATGTCTTTATGTGTTATGAAATGCACCCTTGTTTTCCTTCCCCTTTGCGTAAAAGCGCATTTTACGCCGCAAATTTTCTTCCGGCAGATGCATACTTCTCATCGATACGCCTCTCTTTCTGAAAAGCTATAAAGGAGAAAAGCACCAATGAAAGGCGCAAGTCAGAATGACTCCGCCCATATGATTGGCGCAAAATGTGTCTGTGATGCTGCTTTCACAGATATGTTTTAAGGCGCGAAATGTGTTTGTGATGCTGCTTTCACAGATATGTTTTACGTCCCAATTTTCTGTGTGCTTACAGGCAGTGGGCACCATGGAGAGGGGCGGGCGGTCAATGCCGACGTCATTGGTGGAAGGGCTGCGAGAAAGCTTCTGGCCACACCCCTCTCAGCCGTTCCACCAATGACGTTGACACGCCCCCAGCCACGTACCTACTCCCTTCAAAAATGGGTATTGACTTCGCGTTGCGCGCGTCTAATTGGTATCCCTTCTTATAACAACTCTCAAAACCAGACTGATCCGAAATGGGAAATCAGGCTAACGTGTATATTTCCCATAAAACTTACATCTCTTTTCCTTTTCGCCCCTATACTGTACCTAACAATCCATCCCGCAAGAACTAACGGCATCCCATTCCGTGAAACGTTGCATCCAGAAAAAGATCTGATTTAAGGATCGCCTGATGTTCGCCGGTAGCTCGGAAGGAGTTATGCTGTCAGACCTAGAAGAAAGGGATATCGATCGATCTGCGGATTTCGATTACTCCCGAACTGGATACCTTACCTCTACATCGCCACATGCGGGAACGAAATACTGGAGATTGCCTCAGCGATTCCTCGGCGATAAAGTGAGTTTTTCTTCTCCCATTAGGGAAAATAGCTCCTTTCACGCACTGCAGTTTAGGTGACTTCTTACGGAGGAAACATGGACATTGAACTCGAGTACAGCGGAACTGGTCAGATGAGTCGCGAACCCATGGTGGTACTGAAGGTAGGCTAGGTACTTTTCGGATAAGC